GACTCCATAATTATCAGTGGTGGCATATAATGTGAAACTGGAGACTATTCCAGTACAGTAACATGAAAAAGCCTGGTTGCCTTTGGCTCTTCACCTTTCTCAGTATAAATATTACTGCTGCCTTATTATTTATAGAAAAATGTTGATAGGTGCTCTCTCTGTGTTCTAACCATCTATTTTCCCTTCAGGTAAAAGGGGAACAAAAAGTCCAAAGAGAAGGAATCAGAGCAATTTTCAAGTCTGCCGTCCTGGTGAAATATTTATTCATTTTATCTTTTGCCTGGTGAGTCAAGTCAACGTCAGACTGTACTTTTACTTTTCAATTGAGGATACTTGAATTTAATTTGTTCCTGTCTTGCGATGTTAAGGTGTTGTCTGAATCTTGGCTACTTCTGCCTTGTTCTGAATGTGGGTAAGTTTGGTCTGAGCATCTTCCTGGTTCAGTTCCTGTTTGGGATCTCTGAGGTACCGGCACATCTCCTCTGTATCGTGTTTCTGGAGATCTTCGGGAGAAAAAAGTCGCTGATATCCACCCTTCTGACAGGCGGTTTTGTTTGCCTCTTAACCCTGGCTTTCCCTCAAGGTGAACCTCCTCACTTTAACATTCACTTCTTAAGGATTAATCTATCTGAGTGTCGGCAAGTTTGACGAATTTCACTTAAATTGTGATTCCAGACAGTGCTGTTGTTATCACAGCACTTGTAACCACAGGGAAGTTCTTTCTGAACTGGGGGGGTTCAGTGTCTATGGTCTACATTCAGGAGTTGTTTCCCACTCCTGTCAGGTGTGCAACACAAAACTATACAGAACATACGTACATATACACTGTGTGCGTGCAGGTGTTTCAGAGTTCCTCTCTTTTAGGCAAACAGCCGTGGGCCTGGGCTCTATAGCTTTTAGAGCAGCAGCGCTTCTGTCTCCGCCGCTCAACATGTTGGCCATGTACCACTGGTCCATACCCATCGTCGTCTTCAGCAGCCTGACAGTGTTGAGCGGAGCTCTCGTCTGCCTGCTTCCTGAGACCAACAAAAAAGAGCTTCCTGATGCCACTAGTGAGGTCAACGGGTAAGAACATTACAGCAAAAGTTTACTGAAGACTGACAGTACTGTAGGTTTTTACTAGAGGTCATTCCCAGGAAATAAAAAGGGGAAATTATCTGCTCTAAGATAGATTTAATGGCGCTTAA